TCTATTCTTCTTAATCACTGTAAGTATAATTAGTGAACATAAATGGCATTAGAAAATATTTCTCTTTCAGAGGCTATTCCACTTAATTATTATACAGAGCATGCCCTGCAGTAGCTTTTGATGCCAACACAGTTTTAAGCCCTTCATGGACTTAATCCTTTTTGTTACTAGTGGCCTTGCCCCTCATTCATGAAAATAAAATAAAATATAATAATATACCATATGAACTGGAACATTTTCTAAAAAATAGTAAGTTGTAAATTTGCTTTTGAAATCATTTGAAGTTTCATATATAGTTTACCATTGGTTATTATTTCCCAGCTACCATTGTACATATATGGGAATCATGAGAAGTGAGAAAGTGCAGCCTACAAATTATTTGCAAATAAAATTTAAAAAATATGAAGACTAAATTGACTATGAAGTTGTTTTAATGTAAAATTTTATAGATATTTAATTAAACAATTGATTATGTATTTCTGAAATTTGGGGATCTGTGCATTTCTTAGAATTTAGAATCTCATATTTTGTGGACCTTGGACACTGTATGTAATCCCTAATCAAACACCATTTACAGGCCACCAAGGGTCTCAGCAGTAATATAGCTGGTCTCTGGAAAGGACTCTGCTTCCAGATAATAGATGTTCTTTAAAATGTTCTCTACAAAGAAAAATTAATTAATTAAAAAAATAAAGTGTGGTTCACAGAGAAAGAATGATTATCTCTAAATTACATAGTGGTTTTCTTTTTTAAATCACAATAATTTTTATTAAGTTATGCAGGTGTGCTTTTTTTCCTTTCATTTAATTCAATTAAGCATTTATTTATTTATTATGTGCTTTAAAAATAATTCCTTGGCTTTTTTCCATTCTAGAAAAGGTACACCAGACAATTAATGGACTGACACAAACAATTCTTCTTGATAGATTAGATGCTAAATATGAGAAAATCTTATGAGTACTGCAAGCAGCCATTGGAATGCAGGAATGATTGTTAGGTCAAGAAGGTAGACTGGGATAATGGATGTGTGAGTTTCAAAAGGAAATCCTTGCTCTCACAGACAAAAATGAGTTCCTGAAATAATGTTTCTATTACCACCATTTGTCCACCATCCAGAACTGAAATATCATTGCTAGCATGTACACATAAGGAACTGTTTGACATTGAAATTGGGATTCAAAAGAACTGTTGGCCCAGAAAGAAACTCACTACAGACTGCTTCATTTGCCTCTCATCATGACCATTATGGCTTGTCTCATTTTTAGTTCTTATGAGTGTATTTCTTATATCACATGACCTCACACATCTAGGAGAAATAATGAACAACATAAACTGATGAACAAAAGCAGACCCAAAGACAGGGAAGCATAGATCAGACTGTAAAACTTCAGAGGGAAGGTAGGGGAGAGTGGGGGGAAAGGGAGAGATCAACCAAAGGATTTTGTATGCATGCTTATAAGCCTAAGCAGTGGTCACGAACAATAGAGGGGTGGGGGCATATGTGGGGAGGGGTTTGGGATGGGAGGGGTTTGGGATGAGGACAATTCTGTGATACCATAATCAATAAAGAAATTTTAAAAAAAAGGAAAGGAGAACAAAGGATAAAAAAGGAGATATTGATAACTTTTTTTCTGAATATTTTTACTTTACTTTTTAAATTTTATATATATATATATATGTGTATGTGTGTGTGTGTGTGTGTGTGTGTGTGTTGTGTGTGTGTATACATACATATATACACAAATATATATAAATTAGATCATATTTCCAAATACCTAGTTTCACTATTAACTTAAGAATTAAAGTCTACTGTATGTCATTATACATTGTATACTCAAATAATTTATAACAAAATTTCAAAAATCCCAGATCTGAACAATAAGATTCCCTGTTTAGGAATAGAGAGATAGGAAAACCAGTCTGAATTGGCAGCAATCTAAACCTAGAATGCTTTTGGCAGTAGTCATGTTACTTCAATTAGTTGAAGTAATACTAATTACTTCAAGAAAAAGTAATTATAGTTTCTGTGGGGTATTATTATATTACTAGTGTCCAGGTGCATGGCTTAATAGAAAGGAAAATAATTAGAAGAAATATTTTATTTAATATTACTATTTGCCCTTTCTCTGTAATGGAAGTGTCAGTGCCACCCCCTCACCTGCTCCACCATCCTGCCTGCGGGCGATCAATTGGGGCAGGTCCCCCACCCAGCTCACTCAGCTCTTGGGAGCCAGGCAGCAGCCCTGCACCCACCACTGCCTCTGCTGGTCGCTGTCTGCAGGGTGATTGGAGGGGTGATTAGAGGGGTAATCAGGCCCCTGCTTGCACTGGCCTTGGTCTGGCACTGCCTGCTCACCTGCTCCACCATCCTGCTGTGGTCCTGCTCTCATCTGGGCCCATCAGGGCTGGAAGCACCTCCACTGCCGCCCTCTGCCAGTGCAGCATCACCGACACCCACCACGTTCTGCACCACCCCTGGTGGTCAGTGCACATCATGGTGAGTGGTTGAACTCCCAGTCAAGACAATTTGCATATTAGGCTTTTATTATATAGGAGGATATTATTTTTGAATGGATATGGGGCAAAGCCACTGATAATTAGAGGGCAAGCACATGAGGGCTTTAAAGTTGTGCTGGTATCAAGTGCTACCATTGAGATCTTGCAAAAGTTGCTTTATGAAATAGGTGACTCGCTTACAGTAGGGAGATTATATAAAAATGTGTGCTGCTGGAGTGCTTTTAAAGGCTCTCAAAACCATGTTCGATTAATTCTTTAGCAAGCCCTCCTGCAACCCACAACATTTTCCCCCGTACAGGTCAGTTTTCAACTAGCCCTATGTTTATATGCATCCTGATTCAGAAAAATATGAGAACAATTGGCATATTCAACATTTAACTTTTCCACTTACAAAAAAATGTTTTAAAATTTAAACTTGTAATAAAAGTGCTGTAATGCTTACATGTTTACTGATAACGTAAGAATCTGAAAAGAACTACATCAGAATGTTATCTCCTTTATTAGGGTTGTGTAAAATTAAAGTATTTCTACATGAAGAAATATTTTTTAAATTACTATTTTTCATTTACTTTTCACAGAATTTAAAATGTTTTATTAACCAGAGACAATCTGCTACCAATATGAGAATGCCAAGTAAAAAAAAACAACAAAAAAACCCTATTCCAAATAAATGGGAAAACAAACCTGTTAAAAGACTTGACATGCAATGTTCTTTATTTATAGCAGCTCATTCTACTCAAACCATATCAGTAAATTTTACTAAACTATTCAGTGAAAATTCCAAAGTCAGAGGCACTAAAGCAACCTATGAAGCATGTTGAATAGTGTCAGTTATTAAAACGACACATTCTGTCCTACTCAGGTTGCTCAGTTGGTTGGAACATCATCCCACAAACCAAAAGGTGGTGGGCTCAAATCTTGCTCAGAGCCCATACCTTGGTTGCAGGTGCAGTCCTGGTCAGAGGGTGAAAGGGAGGCAACCAATCTCTCTCTCTCTCTCTCTCTCTCTCTCTCTCTCTCTCTCTCTCTCTCTCTCAAAAATCAATAAAAACAGCCCAAACTGTTTGGTTCAGTGGATAGAGTATTGGTCTGTGGACAGGTCCCAGGTTCGATCCCAGTTGAGGGCATGTACCTTGGTTGCAGGCACATCCCTAGGAGGGGGTGTGCAGGATGCAGCTAATGGATGTTTCCCTTTCACCGGTGTTTCTAAATCTCTATCCCTCTCCCTTCCTCTCTGTAAAAAATCAATGAAATATGTATTTTTTTAAAAATCAACAAAATCATATTCTCAGTAGCGATTTAAAAATTTGTTTATAAAGAAAGAAAAGACAATGACACATTCTGTGTGTCTCCCAGTTTAGTCAATTTCTACTTCAGCTTCTATCAGCAAAGTAATTTTAAAGTATGGATTTAATCAAGGCACATTTAAATTTTTCAAATTTTAGCACGTTGTCTATCAAATGAACAATGACAAAAATGTTAACAGTAAATTATACTTGATGAGTCAGGAATTTTATATTATGCTAGTGTTTGACTCAGTAATTACACTTTTAGAACACTATTCAATACTATAGTTAATTATCAGAAAGGGAGAAAGGGCAAGACAAAGATGTTCATTCGGAATTATTTATGAACATAAGTTTTGAAAAAATGACTAAGAGGCTTAAAATGCAGGGTAAACATTTTTAAGCAGAGAAAAAGTTAAAATGCTGATGAAACAGGGTTAAGGAAAAACAGCGATACACAAGAATAAACGAAATTGGTTCAACAATCTAAAATGTTTGTCAAAAAGAGGGAAGTCATATATATATATGTGTGTGTGTGTGTGTGTGTGTGTATGTGTGTGTGTATAATATATATACACATATATTATATATATATATACATATATATAAATTTTAAATACAATTTTTAAAGTTTATATCTAAATTTGTTCTAATTTATGGGACTTACATGAATAAATTGTAAGTATTGGCACTGTGTATTTTCAAACAGTATTCAAGCTCATTCTGTAATCTCCTCACTGATAATATCATTCATTGGCAAGCATTTCATTTTCTTAAAATTATATATCAACTAGAACCCCAATGCACAAAAATTCGTGAAAGAGTAGGCCTTCCTTCCCGAGGCTGCCAGACTGGCTTACCTCTGAGACCAGCTTACCTCTGGCACCCGGGACCCGGGCTTCCCTCCTCTGGCCAACAGCAGGCACTCGGCCTCCTTCCCTCCTCCAGCTACCCGCAGGCCCCCAGGACACAGGCTGGCTTCCCTCGGACTGCCATAGGCACCCAGGACCTAATCCAGCTTCCCTCGGGCCACCCACAGGCACCTGGTACCCTGGCCGGCTTCCCTCCAACCCTGGTTTTGTCAGGAAGGATGTCTGGAACGACATCTGAAGATATCAGGTCTAATTAGCATATTACCCTTTTATTATTATTATATGTTCTTGCTCTTTTAAATAGTAGTATTGCAATTTTACTTACTTTACCACAATATTTCCTAAACACCGAGCCTTTAGTTTTTGCATGTTGTCGTCCAAAATCATAACTGCAAAATAAAATACAAAATAAATACTCGGACTAAAAATGCATGGCCTTAAAGCATAAATGTTTCCCTATTTTCTGTATTCAACACTCAAAACTGTAGCTTAAAAAGAAGCATCTTTTAATTCCTGTAAGACCATCCTATATAATAAAGAGCTAATATGCAAATGGTCATCACACCCTCACACCCTCACAGGGGCTGGGGGACCTGACAGGGGTGGGGCCAGTGGGTTCTGGGTCTCTTATGATTTTGAGGCGAGCACAGGTGGGCAGGGACTTGACTCTGGGTCCCGTGGTGCGTCCCAGACTCTGACAGGAGGGAGATTTTCATATACACTTTACTAATTTTCTTTCATCTCTGACACTTATATTATAGAGAAAGGGCAAATAGTAATATTAAAATATTTCCTCTAATTAATTCCCTTTTAATGTGCATGAGTTTCATGCACTGGGGCACTAGTTAATATATATAAGTAAATGAAAATGTCTCACAAAAAATGTAGAATACGTGCTTTTGATTTCTAAGATGATTATGAAATCTCCTTAAAATCTTCCATAAAGACATTATATTTCAAACATACTAGTAATTTCACAATCTATGTTCATATCCATTTAAACATATCCTTCTATTCTATTTAAAAAAAACATTAAAAATATGTTCAGCTTTTTGAAAATTAAAGGAAACAAGTAAAGTTTTAAAATATACAAAAAAATATTCCAAGCACTAAACATAAAGTACTGAAAAGCCTGGAAACCCTATTTTTCTGATGTAAGACTTCATATCTACTTACAAGCCTTACAGGTCAATTTAACCCTCCCAAATATTATCCCAGTGCTTTCTGTGTTATACTGTTAAAATCCTGAATGATGTTAGATCAAAGCATTATCCACTTTCAGTAACCTTAGTAGAACCTGGAAATGAGGATGTATCATCATGTTTTAAGCTTTAATAGATTCTTTATGTAGCTTCATCCATCCAGGTTATCCTACTGAAAGAAGCTATGAGAAAAGAAGGACATTATTCCCAGAAAAAAAAATTAATGGCTCCCTTCTTTATGTGCCCAGAGCACTTCGCTTTAAAATTCCATTCTGACAGTTATTAGCAGGGCAGCTATCTGTCTCTCACTAGACTGTGAGTTCGTGAAGGGTAGAGGCCAAGCCTACTTATTTTTGTGTCCCGGAATCCGCTGTTTGCTATGTGTCCCTGAGCACAGCCTATTACCCCTTCAATTTCCCATCCAAAAAGTGAGGGTGGTTCCTTTCTCGTGGTGTTGGTATAAGAATTATTTGGGAGTGGAAATAAAGTGACACACTGTACAAGATATTCAATGAATGTGAAGTTATGTTATATTATATTGAATGTTTTTCACACATACAAAAAATTGTACTTTTTCCTTTCTCAAATAAGTGCTGCTTTTTATTCTAATATTGAATGCTACATTATTCTTTTGAATCTCTGAAAAGCCACCAAACACATAAAGATCGTGAGTCATAAAGTCACTATTTCCTTGGTTATGAATATTTTAGTTCTAATGTGTAATCAGTAATGGCTTTCAGACAATAAAAAATGTCTGTACTGAAATTCCATGAAGCATCAAAGCTTAACTCATCCTTACCGCTGGATAAGAAAACGGCACTGAAACTACTGAAGGGAAATGTGCTCAACATCTCCCACATCTTCAGTGCCTACAGATGGCTCAGCACTACAGCAATTTTTCTGACAAAAGGAGTAAGGATGACAGAACTGTTTAAAGGGAGGGTTTCACTAAAACTGGATTCGCCTTTCCAAGCCTGGAGAAATCACTGGCTTCACAGAATACCTATTTCTACCCTTAACAAAGAAAACTTAAGTGTCTTTTTATAAATATACCTGCTGGGTTAAACCAAACAATCCACATTACCTTAACTAGTCGTTGCTCTAGGAGGGAAAAAAAAAAAATGTTTTCAGGTTGGAGAAGCAAAAGACAAATCTCTCAATTTTATAATTTGCATGCAAATAGGAACTACATGCAGGAATCATCCTCTGTCCCACAAAGCTGGGTTTTCCTCACAAACCTATTAAGCTAAATTGTGTGACCTTATGCAAATACCAACTTGGGCGCCTCATTTTCCTTGTCTGGAAAATGAATGTCTGAGTCTGCATCGAGTCAGTCCACCTGGCTGCTCTGAGGTATCGGGCCCTTCCCAGCTTAGACTGCGTGCAGACCTTCCACAGGCGGTCGCCATGCTAACGCTTCCTTGTGCCATCACAGCATGGCAGTCCTCTGAAGCAGGCGGAGTAAGGAAAAGGTTTGAAAAGTTAGATGACGTCTCTAATTATGCAACTAGGGAATGGAACCTGAGGAAATGTACTGAACTGTTGTAATCACTACCTACAATTTAACAACAAATACTGAAGGTTATTGTGGATGAGAAGATTTTTGTTTTTAGAGTCCTTACTCTTTATATTTATTACTAGCCAGGTTCAAAAGCCTTATCATCACTCCTAAATTAAAAAAAAAAAAGTAGCATAATAAAAAACAAACCTGCAGCTTTTGTAACAAAAACAAGCAAATAAAAATAAGTAAAACACAATGATTTGCATTGTCTTCAGGAGCTAATCAGCTATGTTACCTTTGGAAAGTTGTTTAGTCTGTCTGGGCACCAGTTAGTTCATCTTTAAAATGGTCCTAATATCTCTGAATTAAATATCCTTCAGCATGAAATAAAATAATGTATATAAAGTACTGAGTACCTAGCAGGTTTCATAACATAGTAATTCACATCCTAATTGGAAACTTATTTTTTCAATTACAGTTTATATTCAATATTATTTTTATTAGTTTCAGATGTACAGCATAGTGGTTAGACAATCATAGACTTTACAAAGTGTTTCTCTGATATTCCTAATACCCAGCTGGCATTATACATAGCTATCAGAATATTATTGACTATATTCCCTATGCCGTACTTTACATCCCCATGAATATTTTATAACAATAAATTGTACATTTTAATCCCTTCACCTTTTCCACCCAGTCCCCCAATTCTCCTCCCTTCTGGCAATTATCAGTCTTTATAGCACATCCATATCTTCAACATGTCTTATAAATTATGCTATTTTCTTGGTTAAAATACCATTTAGAACATGTTATTGGAAGTCTATAATCTTATTTATGATCAAAATGGCTAATAAAAATTAAGGCATTCCTTATAAATACAGGTATTCATTCAATCAAATTCTTACTAAGTACCTAGCATGTTTCATGCAATATGATTCATCCTATACACAAGAAAATGCCAAATTTTTTAAGCTCAGATACTTTTAAAAATCAGGGTCATTTCTCACCATTGTATCCTGGAACACACTTTCCTGCTTGCCCTGGAGGAGGTGTTTTAGAATTGCCTAATCCAATGCATGACGCTGTAATTGGAGATCCAGTTTCTGGAAAAAGAAATATTTATTGTTTAATGTTTCAATTTGAGATCATGATTTCTTCAGTGTGTTCTCTGACCTTCTCCACCAAGTTTGTCACAGAATTTAAATGCATGAGAAGATCAATAGTGCCAACGTATTATTTAAAAATGAAAAAGTCCATTAATTTTGCTATATCGACATTTTAAAAATTGAAGACACATAAAATAACACAAATAATAGTGCTTCTTTTAAGAGAAAGAAAGCCCTCACTAGTGTTTTTGGCTGTGAATGGCAGGTGCCAAGAATGGAGAATTGTGTGACTGGGAGAGGTTTACAACACCTGTTAGGAGTGAAAAGATTTCTAGAAAAGATGCTCTTAACGCACCTAGAGTTATTTTCTCATTTTATCACAGTAACTTGCAAAATATTTCTGTTATTTATAGCTTCATCTCTGGAATACATAACCCAACCATTTTATTTTATTTTTATTTTATTTTTTAAGGAAATGGGAAACCACTGAGGAGTTTTATTATTACTACTATTATTATTTTAAAGTATATTTTATTGATTTTTTTACAGAGAGGAAGGGAGAGAGATAGAGAGCTAGAGACATCGATGAGAGAGTAACATCAACCAGCTGCCTCTTGCACACCCCCTACTGAGGATGTGCCCGCAACCAATGTACATGCTCTTGACCGGAATCGAACCTGGGACCTTTCAGTCCGCGGACCGACGCTCTACCACTGAGCCAAACCGGTTTCGGCATTTTTTAAAACTATATGAACAAATCACACTCTAATATTTTGAAGAACTGCCTTTGCCTGAAGACACTGGCATCTGAAGCTAAATTTACCAATGCTGTATCAGAGTGCTCTGGGTCTGTGTTCCCTGGGCTTCTAGAAGGCCAGAAACATAAGAAGAAAGCTATTTACACTATGTTGCTTATTTCAGCAAGACCAGAGACAATTAGCCTGCACTGAAAAGCAAAAACGTTAAATTTCTTTATCTCCAATGGTAACAACTCAGAAAAATAACAGCAGTTACATTACAGCTTAGCTCTGAAAGTGATTAGGTCTATGAAGAGTTCATTTGTTGTTATTAGTAAACACAAGTTTAAACTTAAACAGAACCTTTTAGGTATGAGCTTTGTATCTGTGAAGGGGTAGGATAAGAGGGGATTGATAGTGAAAATTTTCAGAACTACTCGCTTAACATTATACACATGCATATTCCCCAGGGACTAGTTGCCAACCAAATCAAGTCCAAAGTAATCCAAGGCATTAAAAATATCTGCCTTCCTAAGATTTCAGAATGTATTCCTTCCAAGATGGGCCCTATCATGATTTATCACGCCGTTTTATATCACTTTATGGTGACGGGAAGAATTTATTACTATTCTTTACTTTCTGGCATCATTCAGTTTATTATTCACGTTTTGCGGATGGTGGCTCAGCTGGCTGGCATCAATAACGGAAGATGGACTCTTGAACATTAAGACACAGTCCCTAAGTCACAGCTCGGTGCTTACGGTGCTAAGCCATATGGCCACCGCTGAGGAGGGGCAGCAAGTACCCAGAGCAGACGTTTTTTGACGTTTCGCAAAGAATTCTCGGATCTTTTTTCACAGCAAGACAGAAAGTGGGGGTGTATCTTATGAGCTGGGACCCATCCGCCATGCCGCCTCCTGGCCATTCTTCCTCCAGTGCAGCCAAAGCAGGAGAGGAGATCCACAGGCTGAGAAGGGTCCACAGCATTTTCCCCTTTGCTTTCAACAACTAAGTGCTCTCACTTCAGCTGTCCCCCAAAAACTGATGGGAGAGACCAGGGCAGCAGTGATACAGGAAACAGCCCTATGGAGTGAGGTTCTTAAAGGCAGGTGCACAGACAGAGCAGGTGGCACAGGAAACAGATGCCTGGGCACATTGGGAAAGGAGATACCCCCCTTCAAATGCCACTGTTCCCCCTCCCACCCTTGTGGGAAGCAGCTGCTAATGTAAACCTGCTGTTTGAAATCTTGCCCAGCTGGCGTGACTCAGTGGTTGAGCGTCCACCTATGAACCAGGAGGTCACAGTTCGGCTCCAGATCAGGGCACGTGCCTAGGTTGCAAGTTCCATCCCCAGTGCGGGACGTGCAGGAGGCACCCAGTAATGATTCTCTCTCATCGATGATGTTTCTATCTCTCTCCTTCCTTCCTCTCTGAATTCAATAAAAAACTATACATATATATATATATATATATATATATATATATTATTGATTTTACACAGAGAGGAATTGAGAGGGATAGAGAGCTAGAAATGTCGATGAGAAACATCGACCAGCTGCCTCTTGCACACCCTCTCCTGGGGATGTGCCCACAACCAAGGTACATGCCCTTGACCGGAATCGAATCCGGGACCTTTCAGTCCGCAGGCTGACGCTCTATCCACTGAGCCAAACCGGTCTCGGAAATAAAAAAAATTTTTAAAAGTAATAAAAATAAAGGAAATCTTATCAAGTTTAGTTTATCAACAGGGGTACTCCAATCATCTGAATTTCAAACTCACCACATTTCTTAACAACAAAAGGCTTCTCAGCAACTTGTCAACAGATGGCTGAAGACCCTACACAGTACCTTCTAAGGGCTCTAGTTCCTGCCACCTAAAAGAAAAACAAAGAACCACTACATTCAAACTCTAACTGCACCCCACTTCAACTCATCTCACTGTGGTTTCCTATACGAGACACCAGCACTCTGCTCTTCCTGTAAGATCAGTGAGTGTGGAAGAGGAGGTAAGAATACAGCCACGTCTTAAGTAAGGACATAAGAAAGGATCAGTGAAGCACTGCCTAAATAAGCTAACGTTATACACTAGAGGTCCTGTGCACCAAATTCATGCTCAAGGCTGTGAAGGGGTGTCCCTCAGCCCAGCCTGCACCCTCTCAAATCTGGGATCCCTCTCACAATCTGACTTCCAACCACTTGCCTGTCTATCTGCCTGATTGCCCCTAAATGCTTCTGCATGCCAGTCTGATTACCCCCTAAACACTCTCCTGCTAGCCTGATCAACACCTAACTGCTCCCCTGCCAGCCAGATTGCCCCTAACTGCCCTCCCCTGCAGACCTGGGTCCCCTCCAACTGTCCTCCTCTGCAGGCCTGATCCCTCACAAATGCCCTCCCCTGATGGCCATCTTGTGGTGGCCATCTTGTGTCCACGTGGGGGCAGCCATCTTTGACCCCAGAGGGGTGGCCATCTTGTGTGTTAGAGTGATGATCAATTTGAATATTACCTCTTTATTATATAGAATATTTCTGAGATTCTTAAGCATCTATATATAGTGATTACATATTTATAACCTTTTAACCTTCAATGTTTTTTTACAGTTCATATTTGTAAGAGGACTATGAAAAGCATATCTTTAATTATTTTCAATTAATTTTTATTTTTTTAAATATATTTTATTGATTTTTTTTTAAAGAGAAGAAGGGAGAGGGATAGAGAGCTAGAAACATGTATGAGAGAGAAACATTGATCAGCTGCCTTCTGCATACCCCCCACCAGGGATGTGCCCGCAACCAAGGCACATGCCCTTGACCGGAATCAAACATGGGACCTTTCAGTCTGCAGATGGATGCTCTATCCACTGAGCCAAACCGGTTTCAGCTATTTTCAATTAATTTTAAGGGCAGTGACTTAAACTATATGATATTACTTTATACCTTGAACATTAGCATTTTAAGTATCTCATTAACCTTATTGTGGTATTCATTTAGGGGATTAGAAAGAAAAGAAACAGACACATGGAAGGTAGTTACATTAAAAGGATGCAATCAGACAAGTGAGAGTTCCTAGGACTCTAAGCATAATAAGGAGTCATACTTAGGACAAAGTGGGATGAGAAAGACCATAGGGTTGTACAGAACATTTATATCTCTGAATTTCCTGAGGCCCTAAAACTGAACCACCCATAGAGCCAGCACGCACACGTGTGGGCACAAACCTCATAACCACCTGGTTCTCAGGCTGGTGCATGTGCAGAATAGGCTCTGGTTAAGGAAAGCCCTCAGGCATGCTGCAGCCCTTAACCAAACTCCGATGGCCTCCTCAAGCCCCATTTTAAAGATTTCCTAAAAACCTCTGCTTCACACGTACAGGCTACAGTGAACAGGGGAGCAGTTATCAGGGAGACAGGAAACCCAGGCGTGACACTGTGACTGAGAAACAGCTGCATTAAACAACTCAGAACATTTTCTTTGAAAAAGAGAATTCAGTACTACATTTGGAGCAATCTTTTCAAAGACCCCTAACTTAGAAACACACAATGCTTAGCAACTCAACAGCACAATTCCTTTAGATGAGAGACAACCAGGAAGAAGACGGCAGGGAATTAAAGAATGTGAAGGATAAGTTACCTTGGCACGTTTATATGCATACTGCATTAGAAGCTAATACAGACACTTCACCGTTGAGTCTTTACTGCCTCACTCTACTCTGATGCATTAGTGAGCTGTTACCTAAATGAATTCTCCTTAACACTTGTCACTCTAAAGCAGGGCTGGGGAACATCCAGCCAGTGGGCCACATAAGGCCCAAGAAATCATTTTAGGGCTGAGCTAGTTAAATATTTGACCAAATGTAGCAGGCTAATTTTTAAGTCGATCATTTTATATGGCCCACAAATGATGTTATGAATATCCAATTGGCCCTTGGCAGAAAAAAAACAAAAATGGCTCCCACCCCTGCTCTAAAGGGAGGAAAGAGAGGTAATATACATTATATTTTCAAAGTGAAGCTATGCTGTGTACCATGCTAATGCTTGTGTGTTTATGTATGTGTGCATACATGCAAAAACATACTGAGGCCCAACCAAGAAAATGTACCTGATGTGCGCAGTTCTTTCAGAGAAGGAGAATGAAACATACAAGGTTCCTCCTGCGGGTCTCTGAGCGGAATCAGAGGGGAAGAGAAATCACACACACTGCGTGTCAAGGGAACAAAAATCCCTGTGACAGAGCGTGAGCCCCGTCTCTCACATTTGCACTGG